CCTGAGAGCAATATATTTCCTGTGTCAAGGGGACATACATTTAACAACCATAAAACTATCTGTGAAAGCAAAAATCTCATTTTCCTCCTAGATGATCTTTTGAAAGATCAAAATATCATGCCTGGCATTATAATTCTAGCTACTCAGGAGCCTGAGATCCGGGATTGAGGTTCAAAGCCAGTTCATGCAGGAAAGTCTGTGAGACTCTTATCTTCAATTAACTACCAGAAAACAGGAAGTAGAGCTTTGGCTCAAAGTGGTAGAGCACTAGCCTTGTGCAAAAGAGCTCAGGGACAGTGCTCGCCCCAAGTTCAATCCCTGTGACCTGGGGTGGGAGTTAAGGGGAGATCAAAATATATAACTGATTGTAGACAAACATTTTAACAAGGTGCATAAAATAGCCTAATGAGTATTGTACATTTATTTGGCTTGCTTTCTATATTTTTGTGTTTTTGATTCCCTTTTTGCTTTCCAACTGAAAGAAACATCTTCAGGCAATTGTGTCAACAATGTAATTACAGTCGACTACAGTTGTGGGATGTCAGCTGAAGCAGTGGTAGGGAATGGCTGTGAGATGTTAGGGCATTATTTAGAGCTGAGCTACTGGTGTCCTCCTGCATGCAGAGCCCAGGAGGTCTCAAGGCCTAGGTCTGAGAACTAACTCTGTCTTACTGTATGAGCTTGAGTATGTAACAACTCTCTTATATCCTCATTCTTTTCTTTAACCAAAGAACCAAGATACAGATATAAATCTTTGTGGGTTTTTTCTTGTTTCCAGTACTGGAGTTTGAACTCAAGATCGTGTGTTTCCTAGGCAAGCACTTTTACCTCTTGAGTTACTCCCCTCAACCCTTTTTGTGTTAGTCATTTCTGGTAGGGTCTTGCACTTTTTGGCTGGAGCCAAAATCTTCTACCTGTGCCTCCTTGTATAGCTTAACAAACAAGCATGTTTGTTTTTTGCTCATGTTTGCCTCAAATCACAGTCCTCCCAATCTCTACCTCCTAAGTAGTTGGGATTCCAGTGTATCCAGTCTGAGAATATAAATCTAAGTCTCATTAACATTTTTTTATTTTTTACTTTTTTGGGTCCAGTCATGGGGCCTGAACTCTGGGCCTGGGCGCTGTCCCTCAGCTCTTCAGTTCAAGGCTAGCGCTCTACCACTTGAGCCACAGCGCCACTTCCAGCTTTTTTCTTTTTGCTTATGTGGTGCTGAGGAATCGAACCCAGGGCCTCAGGCATGCAAGGCAAGCACTCTATCACTGAGCCACCTTCCCAGCCCTCATTAACATATTATGAGAAGTGTGTTATAAATTATTGCCAAATATCATAAAGGGGAAAATCAGAAATATTGTCAATGTAGAACAGTGGAAGCTACTTATTTATTGGCTTGAATAGGATTTTATTTGAGAAATACCAGAAGTATTGAATCACAGCTGGGCATAGTAGCTCAAGCCCTGTAATCTTATCTACTTGGGCCGCAGATATAAGAACATAGTTTTTTTTTGCCAGTTGTGGAACTTGAACTCTGGGCCTGGGCGCTGTCCCTGCACTCTTCAGCTCAAGGCTAGCGCTCTACCACTTGAGCCACAGCTCCATTCTTGCTTTTTTTCCCCCTGCTTATGTGGTGCTGAGGAATCGAACCCAGGGCCTCATGCATGCGAGGCAAGCACTCTACCACTGAGCCACCTTCCCAGCCCAAGAACCTAGTTTTGAAGGCAGTTCAGGCTAAGAAAAAAATTTTTTTATATACTTTATCTCAATCAATGGCTGAGATGGTGCTCTAGGAGCTATGGGTAAAGCACAGTGGTTGGGCATAGTAGTATACTCTTCGCATTCTACTGACTCCAGGAAACACGAATAGGAGGATCATAGTCTGGGTTGGCCCAGGCATAAAGTGAAATAAACCTTCCAACACAAAAAGGCTGACCAAGTGGTTCAGGTGGAAATGTGCTTGCCAACCATTGCAAGGCCTTGTGTTCAAATCCCCAATACTGTTTCTTGTTTTTGTTTTTTTATTTCCAGTCCTGGGGCTTAAATTTGGGGCCTCGGCTCTGTCTCAGAGCTTCATTTGCTCTTAACACTTGAGCCACAGTACCACATCTGGCTTTTGAGTAATATCAGTATCAAAAAAAATTAACAAGTCTTTAACTCCCACTTATTGGGGAAGCAGAAATGTTTCTTGTTTTGCTAAAATAAATCCTCTGTGTGTGCACATACGTGCATGTGCATACACTCTCCTTTGCACCAGTCCTGGGCTTGAACTCAGGGCCTGGGAGCTATTGTTGAGCTTTTCTTGCTCAAGGTTAACACTCTACCACTTGAGCCACATTCTACTTCCAGCTTTTTGGTGGCTAATTGGAAGTAAGAGACTCACAGACTTTCCTGCCTTGGCTGGCTTTGAACCTAGATCCTTGGATCTCAGCCTACTGAGTAGTTAGGATTACAGGTGTGAGCACTGGCACCAGCCTACAATAAATCTTTGGTAGAAGATAGCTTCCTAAGCTCAGTAGCCTTTGGCCAAGAACAAAAACAACCAAACCTTCATTCCTGTCATTTTTTTGATACTCCAGCAGGAAAGGCTAATCTTTTCTCTGCCCTATGTCCAAAGGTGTCTCCTCTATTCCCAAGTCTGGGCCTTGTAGGGTTGAAGGCCTGCCTCCTCTATGCCTTCAGTCTTGGAGGTGATGGTCCCCCCATGCCAGCTGTCAGATCTGACCTACCTTCTACCTCCACCTGACAAGTGCTAATACCTCCATCCATAGATGCATAGAAACACCTGGTAGATTTTAAATAGACTTCCCCAGGCAGTGTGACCAGCTTCTTCTGACTTCCAACTTTATCAGACCATATGGCTTGCATATTTGTTCCAAGCCTGGGAACCCAGAGGTGTAGCCATTTTTAAATATGCCTTTTCTGTGTGGTACTCCAGGATGAAGCTGAAGATATTTTTAGAGTAACTTAGTTATGAAGAAATTGTGGCATCTTTTTTTTTTTGTATAGGAGTCAAGAAACCAAAATAAAAAATATAAGCAGGCTAGATTGATTTTGGTAGATTAGCAGTGGTGTGTGATTTGTTGCTATTCTTTCATGCTTCATTAATGTTAAGAAAACAAGACCCTAAGTTTGATTTCATAGGAATTTCAGTATAACCAAGGACTCAGAAGCAGGAGACACAGGATGAATGAGGGTTTGCTTGCAAAAAGGGTACCATAAATCAGTGAGTTGACTGACAGGGCTTGCTCCTTGGACTGCTAGACAATGTCTGGGTATATTTTTGTTGTCTGGCCTGGGAAGAGCTGCTACTGGCACCAGTTGAGTGGGTAGAGAACAAGGATGCCGCTAAACAACCTGCAGTGCCTAAAACAGCCTCCACAATCGTGTTTACTGGAGCACAGTGCCAGTAATGCTAAGGTTAAAAACCTGTGTCACACGGAGTGCCATCAGCTCATTTCTGTAACCCTAGTGACTTGAGAATAGGAGAATTAAGGTTCAAGGCAATGAGACTCCATTTCAGTAGAGAGATGCTAGAGGTGATGGTTTGCATCTGTCATCTCGCAGTGACAGGAAGCCTAAAACAAGTGCACTGCAGACCAGGCTACACATCTAGGCATGAAGGGAGACCTGTAAAACAGCCAGTGAAAACCAGTGTTAGAGGTAGGTCTTGGTGGAAGAATGCCTGCCTCAAGCCTTGAGTTCAAAAGTTCAAACCCCAGTCCTGCACCCCCCTTCAAAAAAAAAAAAAGCTGTCACAATATGTGTAGCCTTGGATTGATTGATGTAAATGGGGAATCATGTGAATTAGGAAAATCCCCAGGTGATACCTATTATAGTAGCTGCTAGCCTCTGTCTTCTTGGGGGGGGGGCATTTTCTCCTGTTAGCTTTTTTTTTTTTTTAATCATTTTATACTTACAGACTGGGTAACTTCCATCACTTGGCATGTGGAAATTTTGCTCGATGAAGTAAGAATAAGGAAATGGACCCATTACACATTTCACTTCCCTGCAACTGAGAAGCAGTGCTGAGAGCAGAGGGGAAGCCTCGCTGGGAAGATGGCAGCTGGCTGTGCTTGTGCCCCTGCCTGTCTGAGGCCGCTGCACACCAGTGGCTTTTGGGTCAGAGAGAACAACTTTGAGAACATTGGCCACTAATGCACTTTGAGTCTTTAGAGGCATCGTGATAACTTCAGCCTTCCCCAAGCATGGAGGCTTGCTGGGACAGTCCGCGACACTCTTGCCCATTGGATAAAGTATTTGCATGTGTTCTGATTAAAGCCCAGAAAGTTAGGCATAGGAGGTGTAGCTCAGAGACATTACAAGGCTCTGGGTTCCATTCCAGCACTATAAGCAAGACAAAAAGAAATCTACTAAGTGAATGTTCTCCTGTAATTCTGATGATACATTTTTAGTCGTCCAGTTTCAAGATGTATTAACTTAATAAAGATAAGGTAAAAATGGGGTTGTAGAGCCAGTGTGTCTCACTTCTGTAATCTTAGCTACTTAGGAGGCAGAGGTTTGAGGTTTGAGGCCAGACTGGGGAAGACAAATCTTGAGACTCTTATCTCCAATTAACCAGCAAAGTGCTAAAACTAGAGATGTATCTCAAGTGGTAGGACACCGGCCTTGAATTGAAAAGGCTTAGCAAGAATGCAAGACCCTGAGTTCACACACACACACACATACACTTACAATTTTATTGTATACTATTTTACAGCTTGTGTATTTGCCCATACTATACTGTAGTCATTCTTTGTTCCAATCTGATAAGACATTCAAGATTGATTGTAAAGACAAAACAGTATCTACCACATACCTCCTCAGAGCAATTAGAATGACTTAAATATAAATTTCAGGACATATACAGTTTCTTATACTAGTTATTTAACTGCAATGTTGTTGATTCTATTCCTGTTTTCTTTCTCGATGTTACTGAAATGTTTCAGGAAACGTAAGTCCTCAGAACATACTCTTGACGTTTCAACATCTCTTTTGTGTCCCACAGGCAAATACGTGTATCAGCCTATGACCCCTGTGGAGCAGCTACCAAGCACCGAGATCCCTGCCAGGCCTCGAGAACCCACAAACACCATTCAGATCTCTGTCTCGCTCACAGAACACTTTCTGAAACTTGCATCTGTCTTCCAGCCTCCCCTTCCCCCTGACTCCCCGAGGTACTGTATGATCTCAGACCTCTTCATCGACAACTATCAGGTGAAGTGTATTAATGGGAAGATGTGCTATGTGCAGAAGCAGCCAGTGCCGCACTCCCACAAGCTGAGCCCCGAGGAGGTCTCTGCACACGATGCCTTAATTTCAAAAGAGAGCAATACACCAAAAATAGATCACTGCTCTTCTCCCTCGAGTTCTGAGGACTCCGGGATCAATGCCATTGGAGCCCACTATGTGGAATCGTGTGATGAGGACACGGAAGAAGGAGCAGAACTGAGTTCCGAGGAAGATTACAGTCCTGAGAGCAGCTGGGAGCCGGATGAGTGCACCCTTCTCTCCCCTTCCCAGTCTGATCTGGAAGTGATTGAAACAATAGAAACCACTGTGTGAGTCCAGGGGGGGGCCTCGGCCTCGGCCTCTGCTCCGCACTGGACTCATTACTTTTGTCTGTTGGATCCTTTTCCAATGCTATTGGTATTTTCTATCCCTTCTACCAACCATAGCAGTTCAGTGGTCTGCTGATTAGTGTCACTCCTAAATCAGGCTGATAACTTAGACAGTTTTTATTGTAATGGTTTTCTTTTGTATCTTTTTATGTAGCATCTGGTGTCAGGAATTGTGACCCAACCTTAATTTCACTGGAAACTTTGAAAGCAGCGACGATCACAGGACACACTGGATTGGATGGAGGAGCTACCCAGACTGCACAGCCAGTCCTTTGCAGAAAGGCTCCTGTGTCTTTTTGGCATGGTCACTGCACCCTTGTCCTGCTAGTTCCCCAGGGGAAGCAGTTTGCTCCCTCGGGGAACAGTGGTCCATGTCGCTCTCCCCTTCCCCCTTGTCCCTACCACCTGCCCTGGGTCAGCTGCCTCAGCATACTTCTGGATTTTGATAGAGGCCAGTTTGGCCTCTGTGTCCACACACACAACCCTCTGCTACACGGGCTGAGCTACATCTTCACATGGGACGAGATACCACCTCAGTGTCATGATCAGTGGAGCTTTAGCTGAGCGCCAGATACAGAACGGACAAGACCTAATTCCTACCACGAAGGGGTCTGCATTTCACGGGACACGCTCATGGAGATCATGGTACCCAGGGACAGAGTTAAGGACTTAGCTAGAGGCAGGTGCTGCTGCGTTGGAGCTGGCCTCATGGATGGATGGGTTTCCCGGCATTTCTCTGCTTTTCCTTATTTTTCAAACCTTGGGAAACATTTAAGTACTTAGATCGGTATTGTAATTATGAGGCAGTCACATCTGACATCTTAAAAAAATCAATAGTTTTTAGTTAGCATGGAAATGCTAAAAGATGAAAGTCCTTTAGGGATTAGGAATGAATCTAATAGGTTTGATTAATTCTGCTTCATTTGGTTATATGAAGCATTAGAATGGGTTAGATGAGAAATGGATTAGAATTCAGTTTATGATGCATGGATTTTTTTATGCAAATGGAAAAAGTTGAACTAGTTCACTTCTAAGGAGAAAATATTTTGTGTATTATTCACTTTACCACATGAATGTTCACGGTCCACATAGTCCACGTATGTGCCCCTTTCTCACACACACAACAGTGAACACTTCTTCCTTATACAGCTCTCTTCAGAAGGCTCGTCTCCGTATTGCCAGAGATCCTCATGTGAGTTGCATAGCCACCACTTCCCTAACTGTCTGTGAGGCGCGGTGAACCCAGGAACTTCCAAGTGCCACCTGATGACGTGAGAAGCGTCAGCGGGAGTGGAGCGTGTCTTCGTCCCGACTCTTCCTAGCCTGGTGGCATTGTCAGTCTGTGCTCGGGTGGTGTCGCAGCACATCTTTGTCACGTTAGTTTGTATTTTAGGAGAGTAGAGTTCCTTTGGGATCTTCTCCGAGGCCTCCATTTTGTACCCTCCACAAAGTACTCAAGGAGGAATTTGTTTTCTACATTGTGTAGTTTAATGTTTACTAGAAATTTTTATTAGATTTAGGTGTCCAAAATATCTGTAGGACTTCGAAGGCAGAGTATATGCCTTTCTGTTTGAAGACAGCATTAATTTTTGTGTGTGTGTGCTAAATGAGAATGCGGTGTATAGCTTCCCCTCACTTGAAATGTAGTAACTTGTTAAACCAAGAAGGTGGTTTGAGGAGCTCCAGAGACGACCAGGCATAGGTGAGGGCGGGTGTATGGGCCTGAGGGACATTCCCCTGGCCAGATGTGGCCCCGAGGGCCTTTGATGAGCCCAGCCTGAGTTTCCTCCCTTGAACCATGGCTGGCTGAAGGCAGCATGGAGGCCCCGAGCCTGTGAGCTGCTCAGCATTCACCCTGCGCTCAGGTCTGGCAGGGCAACACCAGGGCCTCCCTCTGCATGTGCCTGGGGTGAGCTCCTTGAACCCTGGGGAGTGGGGGTGGCAGGGCTGCTTCTCTATCCCCATTAAATCTATTAGGGACCCACTGCCACCTAACCTAATTGGAGTCTACAACCAGTGATCCAAAGCCACCGACTTGTGGCCATGGGTCAGGCCTGGGCCCCTTACCAATAGTACCTATGACTTTAGTCAGCTTCCTGTTTTATAAACTCCAGAACTGCCATTCAGATTACCCACTGTTTTAATGCAATTTTTGGATATAATGGTTAATAATCACTTTAAATATTTGCACAATCTCTTTATAATTACTAAGCTTCACTAAGCTTCACTTACTATTTTATAGAATTGGAGACGTTCCATTGTATTCTAAGTATCAGATACTCCTGGATCTCAAAACAGCCTTTTCTAAATAAGCACAAACAAGTTTTTTTTGTTTTAAATTCTAGCACTGTTCATACTAATAATTTACTAAAATATGATTGAACCAGAATTGTTTATGCTATGTTATGAAATAATAAGATATTAAAATGTAATTTCAACTTAAATTCTAGGCCTATTCTGTTCTATGTTATATGAAAGAATTTCTCTGTGGTCCTGATATTATACTGCTGATTTGTATAACAATATTTATAAGCACTTTAGGAAATATTTAGATTGAAACACGTACTATAGACATTAAGCACAGCTATGTGAACTAGGCTTTTGACAAATCATTTGTGCAGTAACAGAGACGCAAGCTTGCCAGTGTGGACCTCGGCAAGTGCTGTCTTGGGGAGGGGCCAGTCCGGCCCAGGTAAACTGCTCTCCCGCTGTAGTGGAAAGCTGGAATGATTCCCACATTCGGAAAGTTAGTAGAAAGAGTAGAAGCTTAATTCCACTAAATGTGGAATTGGCTTTCTTACCTAACCAAGATACTAATTTTCAAATACATGCATAACTTTTCTGAGAAACTTCAAAGGAATTTTGAAGTTTTTGTGGTTATGACTATTTGCTATGTTGAAAAGCAAAGTTTTACTATCAAATCTAGATTTTTTTTTACCTTGTAATTTTTTTTTCTTGGTGGTACTGGGTATTGAACTCAGGGCCTCACACTTACTAGGCAGATGCTCTTCCACTGAGCCATGCCTCCAGCCCTTTTACCTTACAGTTTTTAAGATATAAAAAATTTCAAGGCAACCATCAAACAGTTGCTTTCTTGGATGGGGAGACTTGCCGTTTTAAGACGACAACACAAAATAACAAAAACACCACCACCAAGACCAGAGCAAAAGCCCAGTTGTTTCCTGACATACCTTATAGATTTGATCAAGGATTTGATTATATCTTGGGAGTGCTAGTTTTTCTTTTTTCTTTTTTGGCCCGTCCTGAGGCTTGAACTCAGGGCCTAGGCACTGTCCCTGAGCCTCTTTTTTTGCTCAAGGCTAGCCTTCTACCACTTAAGCCACAAAGCCACTTCCAGATTTTTCTGTTTATATGGTACTGAGGAATCGAACCCAGGGTTTGATGCATGCCAGGCAAGCACTCTACCACTGAGCCACATCCCCAGCCCTAGTTGTTATTTCTTAAACTACTTCTCTTCATTGATTTGAGCTATCATAATTCTTGGGGGACTTAACCAGAACAAACTCCTCTTAGGCAAATTTAGTTTTCTAGTTAGAGAGTAGTTCCAAACAGCCACTTTAAAAAATAGCCAGATAACTCTGGAAGTATAGATCTTGTTGGGCAGGAGGAAAACACAAACCAAAATACTATTTATGAGGCCAGCTCTGGGTTATTCCCACATTCTCTTCGCAAACTTTCCTTGTCATGGTTGGCTTTTTACATGAGGAAAAAGAGGGGGCTGGGAAGGTGGCTCAGTGGTAGAGCACTTGCCTTGCATGACTGAGGCCCTGGGTTCGATTCCTCAGCACCATATAAACAAAAAGAAAAAAGCCAGAAGTGGTGCTGTGGCTCAAGTGGTAGAGCGCTAGCCTTGAGCTGAAGAGCTGAGGGACAACGCCTAGGCCCAGAGTTCAGGCCCCATAACTGGACCCCCCCAAAAAAAACAAAAAATAAAAAACATGAGGAAAAAGAGTTACTGTTCTTTCCTATCTCCTGGTCCAGAATTGCTGGGGGGCAGAGGGAAGAAGGCTGGGTATGTGTTGTGCTTTTGGGGGAGTGCGAGCAGGGGGTCAGGGAAGGCAGGGGGGCCCTACTTATTTTATTAGTGTGGCAGGGTCCAGGCCTGCCAATTTTACTCAAATCCAAATGTAACTAGAAGAGAACTTCTCAAACTTAAGTCACCATTGTCAAAGGGTCACTGCTGCTTGTCATGGCTGGTGGCTGAGTGTTGGGGGCATGGGGAATGGGCCCCATTCTACTGGGGCAGAGCTTTGTCCTCAGAAGAAAGCAGGCTCCCGGCAGGCTGGACAGATAGCTCGGGCTGCCGGGCTGCTGGGCTCACCACACACACTCTGTTAAGGCGCTTCAGACCTTGCAATATTCACTTACTGTGCTATTCTTTTTAAACCTGTCTGTTTTAAAGTCCTAAGCACAATGTTGACTCTTCTGTAATTTCCTAAAATTATATTGTTTTCCTAAGACAGCTCAACTCTCCTTTTATGTGTAACACTTTAGGAAATCACTGCATTGTAAAATAAACGTGAACTTCTTTTCTACCAGAACAAATCTATTGTTTTTCCAGTGTGGGAATTCCCTCCCCCAAGGTAGAGAGTTCTGTTTCATTTAAGCAATGACCACAATGTGAGCTAAAAGCAAAAATGCACATTTGCAGTTGTGAAACGTTCAAGGCAGTGTTTACTGTGTGCTAGAAAAGGAGCACTTTCCACCCATTATCCCACTTAGCCTTTATAAAAGACTCCCAAGGGCAGGTCAGGGCTGTGATCCACTACCTGCACTCATGAGCAGACCCTGTCAGGGAGGGAGGGAGGGAGGGTGTGTGTGTGTGTGTGTGTGTGTGTGGCCTGAGTGTGTGTGTGTGTGTGTGTGCTGGGGTTTGAGCTCAGGGCCTGAGTGTTACCCCTGAGATTTTTTGCGCTCAAGGTTAGCACTCTACCACTTGAGCCATACAGCTCCACTTCTGCCTTTTTGGTAGTTAATTGGAGAAAAGAGTCTCATGGACTTTCCTGCCGAGGCTGGCTTTGAACCACAGTATCTAGTGTTATAGACATAAGCTACCAGTGCCTAGCTCAAAAAGAACTTTTTGATGGCTCCATTAAAACTTCCAATCCCCATCAATAGCATTTGCTTCGCAGGCTTTGTATTTGGTTTCGATGTGCATCTAAGTTCTAACTGCATGGCAAGTCTGGGAGTTGATTGAGCTTGTTATGTCAGAAAACAATGGTTGCTCAGGTTGGCTTCTGTGAATCACCTCTCTAGGGACTGCTAAAGAAATCTGTTACTTATCAGTAATTATATCACTGTCAGTAGTCATTGTGGTCAGTAGTCTGTGGCTACCTGACTGCTCTCTGTGTAACCTTCACAGCAACCTGTGGCAAGGTTTCAGCAGCCTGTGTTGCAAGTCAGAAAAGCTTATGAAGTGCAGTATTGTTCACAGTGGCACCACTGGTCAGTTGAATTTGGAATTTAAACCCAGAGCATCAGCTCAGGAGTCTATACTCAGTCTGTACTGTTGTCCCTAACCCAGCAAACACCTTCCCATAGTCTGGCAACTCCTCACCATTGCACCTGTTCCCAAATGCTGGGACCACCACCACCAACAGGCTGCCTCCTCCCTCTTCTCTGAACGCCACAAGTACACACAGCCAAGGTTGCACCTTGGCTGCATTCGAAGCAGGCATCACTACCTCCATGCTGATCACCTCCTGGCTCACACTCTAGGTTCTTTCCGCCTTCACAAAAGGTAACTAACTCCTCTTTTAACATGACTTTTGCAGACAGCGAATCCCATCAACTGCACATTCTACTAATTTAACTCTACTTAATTGTACTGCCAAGATCTGGAAGTGTTTTCTAGTAGCCTCTTAAAATGCTGACTATACACACTTTATTCTGCGACAAACTTGAGTTAGCATTTTGTCTTCATTGCATTTCAGTCATGGGAACTGGCAGTGCCTTTTGCCATTGGTGTTCACTCAGGACCATAGCATGGTTCTCACAGTACCATCTGAGGAGAGGGTAGCAGGGAGGAGAGTTCAGGAGTCAGGGAGATATGGGAACAAACAAACAATAGAAGTGTTTTTCCAATTGCTTCTCTTGAGTTTTCTGGTTTTTGGACCAGAAAACAACCCAATGAGTTTGAAAGTGACTAGTCCTAGGCCAGTGAGCATGGGGGGGAGCTCCATTCCATGGGCCTGGAGTGGATCAGAGTTCCGGCATTGGCCATACCACTGTGCCTGTGCTAGGAAGAGATGGCCCGGCTGGAGGGCACACATCTTGGACTTAATTGGCTTCCATGCGTAGTGATCCCCATCTCAGGGCCCAGTGTCTGAATGCTATGAGCTGGCTGCATTCCCAGCCTGAGACTTTCTCCCTGTGAGCCTGGAGATGGGCGATCGGAACACTTAGACTTTGGGGGGATGTCTTGGCTTATGGGACTCCAAACGCTATAGAACTCCAAATGACGTCTCCCAAGACAAAGATCTGAATCTTTTGGTGAGATGACAACCAAGCAGAGCATCCTGTGCTATGGAGTGTGGACAGTGATCCGTAGTTCTCCCAAGGTGTTTCTCCTGATGGCAGGGAGGCTGCCATCCCCAGCAACCGCATGATGGCAGCAGGTCTGGTTTTGTGAGTTTATAGCTGAAGCAGCCAAGAGTTACAGACCTGTCAAGGGCCCTCGGCCAGGGCTCTGACCCTCACCATTCCTAGTCCAGCCTGAATCACTCTCCCACCAGTGAGCGTTTGTTTAAGTTGAACTCTGCCTGGCTCCTGCTTCCCCTCGCCTGCCCTTTAGCACACAGCCGAGGCCGATGCCTCACACCCCGCTTCCCGGAAGGAGACCTGGCCGTGGCTGGGGTTGGGATGTCAGGGGAAACACAAATCAGCCTTGAGTCTTGCCAGGTTGCTCTGGCTTCATGCCAGCCTCGCTCAGCCTGGACTGGTCCTGAGACTGACTCTGCCTGGTGCTTTGGTGTGGTCCCAAGATCTAAGGACGTGTCTTGAGAAGTGGAGTGCAATCTTAGCTCTTTGGAAATCAGCTGCTTCCTTGTCCCCAATGGCCTCACTGGGGCACTGGATGCCAGCAGTGCTGTCAGCAATGCTCTCTGTGCTGCACATTGGATCTGAGGTCAGACTGCTTTCTATCCTCAGCTTTAGAATCTACCAATATTTATTTGTTTGTTTGTTTATTGTTGGTCATGGGGCTTGAACTTTGGGCCTGGGTGCTGTCCCTCAGCTCTTGGCTCAAGGCTAGCAGCACTCTTATCACTTGAGCCACAGGGCCACTTCCAGTTTTCTGAGTGGTTTATGGGAGATAAGAGTCTCACCACCTTTCCACCTTTCCTCAGATCTCAACCTCCTGAGTAGTTAGGATTACAGGTGTGAGCCACCACACTCAGCCTCTGCCAACATTTATCAAGCCATATATCCATTGTAAGAAAGGACTTGAAAAGCCATCTCAGTCTGTGTTGGTCAGTTTTGTCTTTGTGATAAATGCTTGTGGTTTCACTCCCCAGCCAGCTCCTTTGCTTTCAGGCCTGCAGTGAGGCAGAGTATCACAGTGAAAGATGCAATAGAGAAAAAGCTGCTCATCTCATTGCAGCCAGGAAGCAACATGAAAATTTCGGGAACGAGATACAGCTTATTCCAGCAATCTACTTCTCCACCTAGCCCCACCCCCTACTCTCCATCTTCTCCTAGTAATGCTACCCTACTATGAATTCAGCATTGCTAAGGTCAGAGCCTCTAAGAGCCAATCACTTCCCAAAGCCCACTTGCAACGTTGCTGGAGGCTGGGGTGTGGCCTTCTAAGACTATTAAGATCCACAGCTGACCTTTGAGATGGGGATGGCGCAGAGTTCTTACAGGTTACCTGCTTCACAGTGATGGAGAA